ACACATCACAGAAAGTCAGACACGGGCGCTGTGTTGGGTTTAAGCACATGCTGTCGGTGGCTTCACGCCAACATGCCTGGCCTATACTTGCTTTAATAATGGCTATTAAAAGTGAGACATAGTTTTCAACTTTTGATAACTTGCCTAGGAAATTCTTCGCCATCTTAACAGGGACTACATTTAAAACCTGCTCCATGAAAGTGAATCAAAAATGGGAAAAAGGGTTAAAAAGAAGACAAGCCTGAGCTTTTTTCCTTCCCTAAACCTCTATGTTGCACGTGGTACTAGAAGTCCAATGGCAAGGGATGCAATTCCCTCCAGGCGAATCCACTGGGTGCTTGGAGGATGAAGGGTGTGTTCATGAAGGGACACAGTTCCCATGTCTGGCAGAACCTCTACCAATCCTGACCGAGGACATGTCAGAGACCATATCCCTAGAGGCACTGATTCAGAGATGAATCTGAAAAAGCAGTTGCCTTGACCAATGGAACAGAGTTGAATATTCTGTCACAGACCCCCAAATATATGACCACTTAATCTTTGACAAAGGAGCAAGAAATGTGAAGTGGAACAAGGAAAGCCTCTTCAACAAGTGGTGCTGGGAAAACTGGAGAGCTACCTGCAAAAAAAAAAAAAAAATGAACTCTGACCTGTCTAATGCCAGGGACAAAAGTCAGATCAAAAGTCAGATCAAAGACCTCAATATCAGACATGAATCCATAAGGTACATAGAGGAAAATGTAGGCAGAACTCTCTACGACACTGAAGCTAAAAACATTTTTAAGGATGAAACTGCACTGTCCATGCAAGTGGAAGTAAACATAAACAAATGGGACTACATCAAGCTAAGAAGCTTCTGCACTTCAAAAGAAACAGTGACCAAAATACAGAAAGAGCCCACAGAATGGGAAAGAATATTTACCCAATATCCATCTGATAAGGGATTAATATCCAGGATATACAAGACACTAGTAGAATTGTACAAGAAAACAACCTCCAACACCATCAAAAATGGGGAGAAGATATGAACAGAAGTTTCCTCAAAAAAGAATTACAAATGGCCAAATGGCACATGAAAAAATGCTCCACATCGCTAACCATCAGGGAGATGCAAATAAAACAATAATAAGATGTCATCTCATACCACAGAGACTGGCACACATTCAAAAGAACAAAAGCAGCCAGTGCTGGCATTGATGTGGGGGAAAAGGGACACTCTTTCACTGTTGGTGGGAATGCCCACTACTCCAGCCTTTCTGGAAAACAATATGGACAGTCCTTCAAAAACTAGAAATTGAGCTTCCATATGACCCCGCAATACCACTTCTGGGAATATCCCAAGGATGCAAAAAAGCACAGTAGAAATGACATCTGTACCTATATGTTCATTGCAGCACTGCTCACAATAGCCAAAATCTGGAAACAACCCAAGTGCCCTACAACAGATGACTGGTTAAAGAAACTTTGGTACATCTATACAATGGAATACTATGGAGTTGTCAGGAAAGATGAAGTCATGAACTTTGCCTATAAATGGATAGACATCGAGAGTATCATGCTAAGTGAAATGAGTCAGAAAGAGAGGGACAGACAGAAGAACTGCACTCATTTGTGGAGTATAAAACAACGTAACATGAGGCTGACACCTAAGGATAGTAGATACACGGGACAGGAAGATTGTTCCATAGCTGGAAGCCTGCCTCATGAGCAAAGGGGAGAAGGCAGCTGGAATAGAGAAGGGATCACTAAGAAAAGATGGCTGGAGGAATCGGTCAGAATGGGAGATGTGTGCAGAAAGTAGATAAGGGACCAAACATGGTAACCTCTCAGGGTCTGTATTGCAAACCATAATGCCCAAAAGTAGAGAGAGATTATGGGGAATCATGTCTGCCATGGAGGCAGGGGGAGGGTGGGAAAGGGGGGTATACTGGGGATATTGGTGGTGGGGAATGTGCACTGGTAGAGGGATGGGTATTTGATCATTGTGTGATTGTAACCTAAACATGAAAGTTTGTAACTATCTCAGGGTGATTCAATAAAATTTAAAAAAACCAAATTATTATACATTATTTTGCATAATAGGGCTGGAGTGATAGCACAGCAGGTCGGGTGTTTGCCTTGCACGTGGCCAACATGGCCAACCTGAGTTCTATTCCTCCACCCCTCTTGGAGAGCCTCGTAAGCTACCAAGAGTATCTCACCCTCATGGCAAAGCCTGGCAAGCTACCCATGATGTATTTGATATGCCAAATACAGTTAACAAGTCTCACAATGTTACTGGGCCCACTCAGAGCAAATAGATGAACAAGAAGGACAGTGCTACAGTGCTACAGTTTGCATAACGTTATACAAAAAAAAAGAAAGCAGTTGCCTTTTGAAAAGAGTTATGGAGTCCTATTTACTTATTTTGGGTTGTGTTGCCTTTGCCAGTGGTATCAGGTCATTGAAGGGGCATGGATAGGGTAGGGTTTGGGGTGGGGATGGAATACGGGAACATTGGTGGAAGGAAGCTGACACTGGAGGCAGGATTGGTGTAACATTATCTGCCTTCAACTCAACTATCAATAAATTTGAAATCACAGTTCATTAAAAATAAATGGGTTGAGTTAACATGTCAAAGATGACTCCAGGAAAGCTGACTTTGCACAGAAGAGTTGCTCTCCGGTACACAGGCTCACAGGGAAAGTAGCTCAGTGCTTTGGCCAGTCAATTCGACAGGAAGCTGAGATAGTGAGTGGGCACTACTTGATGTCACCAATGCAGAAACTCCAAGCTCTGAGACCTTGGTCCTTCTCCCCCAATACTGGAACTGTAGGAGAATTCCCAGACACAAATCTGAAGTAGCAGAACATGCATGGAGGCAAAAGCTGTCACATCTTAAGCATGATGGAACCATCCCAGTCCCTGAGCAGTGTGTGAAGGGGCTGACCGTTCCCTCACCCCAGCACTGCTGAGCCTCAATTCTCCCTGCCTGTAGTACTGTTCTCCTGTTGTTCATTGATTTGTTCGAGCAGGCACCAGTAATGTCTCCATTATGATACTTGTTGTTAACTGTTTATGGCATATCGAATACACCACGGTGAGCTTGCCAGGCATTGCGTCGTGGGTGAGATACTCTTGGTAGCTTGCCAGGCTCTCTAAGAGGGAGAGAGGAACTGAACCCGGGTCAGCCACGTGCAAGGCTAATATGCCCTACCCACTGTGCTATCACTCTAGCCCCTCCCAACCTGAAGGGAGGGAATCCTTTTCTTAAGTCTGACCTTTAAAGTTCAATTTCTGGTCCTCAGAGATTCTTATAGTTCACAAATGCAAAAAGTTAGAGGCCAACAGATGTTGTTCCAAGAGCCTGGACAAACTGCCAGTCAGGTGAGTAAGGTCTTTCACGTGTCCCAGTTCTAGCTTCCCAGCACTGGCAGTACCAAATAGCACAAACCAAGCACCTTAAAACAGCAGGCCCAGACTCTCTCACAGCTGTGAGCCTACAAGTCTGAAAGTAGGTTTTTTTCTCAGTGGGGCTCCTTCTGGGAGCTCGGAGGGGACTCTGCCTCTCTCTCTGCTGCCTCAGCCTTTCTTGTGGCTGCCTCATCCTCACAAGATGTCGTTTCTGTGACAGGGTTTTCTCTTGACAATAAGGACATTAGTCATGAGGTCAGAGTTAGGTTGAACCTCTGACCTCAACCTAACTAAGTATATCTACAAAGACCTTATTTATTTTTCAATGTTATGACTTCATTTGTTCTGGTATTAAATTTTTTAACTGAAAATCATACACATAAAGACCCTATTTTTTAATTTTTTTTATTTTTTATAATTTTATTTATTGAATCACCATGAGAGCAGTTACCAAGCTTTTGGGTTTAAGTCTCGATCATACAATGAAACATTCATACCTTCACCAGCGCCCATTCTCCACCACCAAAAACCCCAATATGCCCCCATCCCAACCCTCCCCCTACCTGTGGGGCAGATGATTTCCACATTACTCTCTCTCTACTTTGATTCAGTATTTTGACACCAGACCCACCTTATTATTTGGGATTTTACCCCAACACTCAGATATGCCAAAAAGGCAATAGCAGACAATTTGTTTTCTATTGCTGACTAAGAATAACATATGATGTCATGTGGCTGCAGTAGTGGCCACGCGATTTTGAAATTTCAAAATTTTAATACTTAAATCTGGAGGGATTTCTGCCAAAACCTGCTGGTTTCCGAGATTTGTTCCTGAGTCTCTGGGATTATGGCTGTTAAGCAGCTTGATCAGGAGCCAGAAAGGCCGTTCATGGGTGGCAACTCAGGGTCTCATTGGGACGGGGAGGAAAGGGCCGGCTCCACTTCCCTTCTGTGAGGTCCTGTGTGTCTCGTCACTGAGGGCCCAAACCTGACTGTCCAGTGGCCTCTGGAGGATGGCGGCCACCAATCCGTCTAGGGGGAGCAGGCGGAGGGACAAGACCCTTTCCCCCCTGGGGTCCCGGTGACAGTAATCTACTGTGGGGTCCGGACCCATTTCTGCCAAAAGCCACTGGGTTCTGAGATTTGTTTCTGAGTTTCTTGGATCATGGCCATTAAGCAGCTTGATCAGGAGACAGAGAGGCCGTTTGTGGGCAACAACTTGGGGTCTCATTGGGGTGGGGAGGAAAGGGCTGGTTTCACCCCCATCCCGTGAGGCCCAACGTGTCTCGTCACTGAGGGCCCAAACCTGACTGTCCAATGGTCTTTGGAGGACGAAAGCCTCTGAGCCGCCAAGGGGGAGCAGGCAGAGGGACAGCACCCTGTCCCCCCTGGGGTGGCCCGGCGACAGTAACCTACTGCGGGTCCGGATGCATTTCTGCCAAAAGCACTGGGTTCTGAGATTTGTTTCTGAGTCTCTGGGATCATGGCCTTTAAGCAGCTTGATCAGGAGCCAGAGAGGCCGTTCATGGGCGGCGACTTGGGGTTAAAGACACTATTTTGAAAGAAGGCCACAGTTTGAGGCTCAAAGAAATTTTTTCCCCCAAGAGACCACTCAGCCTGCATCCTCTCCTTCTCTTTCAAGGGAAGAGAAGAATGATGAGAATGGTAAAAGGCAATTGTGAGAGCAGCACCCAGAATAGGCTTCCTGCCCAGGAGAGAATGCTCTGGCTCTTTCTCAGGGTTTTAGGTGCTCTACATGATCAGAGAAGCTTCTCTATTAACAAAGTATAGAAACGATCCCTGAAAGTACAGTCTGTCTGTCCTGTAGCACTGTCCTCCTGTTGTTCTTCGATTTGCTCATGTGGGTACCTGTAACGTCTCCATTGAGAGACCTGTTGTTACTGTTTTGGGCATATAGAATACGTCACAGGGAGCTTGCCAGGCTTTGCTGTAGAGGCAAGATACTCTCGGTAGCTTGCCTGTCTCTCCAAGAGGGGTGGAGGAATTGAACCTGGCTCGGCCAGGCCGGCCGCATGCAAGGCAAACGCCCTACCTGCTGTGATATCACTCCAGCCCTCTTAGCGCAGTAGGCAGTGTGTTAGTCTCACAACAGGATGAATGAAATAAAATCTCTGAAGAAAAAATTCATTTTCAACCCAGAATTCTACATCCAGTGAGACTATTATTCAACTGTAAGAGTCAAATACCTTCTGGCAGGCAGAAACTGAGAATGTTACCTTTTACCCACCTCCAGTTATCTGTCAGGGGCTGAATTTTTTTTTCTTAAACTTCTTATATACTGCCAATGTAATAAATGTTTTGTTTTTTTTTCTTAAGAAATAATTTTACTTTTAAAAGCTTATGGTAGAGATATTTTTGTGATTTATTTCCTCTCTCATCACTTATAAATGAATTTTAAAATGGCATGTCACATTTATAGGTTATAAATGTAAGAAACAACCGCCAATATCACTAATTGGGGGGGGGGATCTGTTTCAAAGAGAAATCAGTTTTTTTCTTCTAATCAGATCACCCTCTAAATCAATTTCTTTTGTCAAAAAAAAAAAAGATATAGCTAAACATATATTTGAACTGCTAAGAGGTATATAGAACTACTAATGTATCAAAGTATTTGCCAGAAGGTTATTTTTTTTTAAATATACTTGACACTTATTATAGTGATTGTTATATCCTGGAACTCAGTAATGTAACAAATAGGAGCTAAATATAACACAATTACATACTTGACATCTACATGAATCTATATAAGTAGTCCTTTGTTCAGAAGAGGTAGCCTAGAGGTTAAAAACGGCACTTGTCATGCACACAGTAGACCCCTGTTCAGTCCTTGACACCGCCAGGAGTGACCCTTGAGCACAGAGCCAAAAGTAAGCCCGGAGCACTGCTGGGTGAAGCCCAAAGTCAAGAGTGCATGAGACAGAAAAAGTTAAATTGAATAGCATATTTTACTGCTTGACGAAAATATAAAACTAATAACACATAACACATATCTTTTTTTCCCTTTCACTGTATGAGAGTCAAATGCATGCATAAATGAAAATGGCAACAGCTAACGAGTCCCCCTATGTCCAAGTAACATTCTCTACTTGATAATAAAACAGCCTGGTTAAAGCTTTCTAGTGATGCCAAAATGTAATCATTATGTCAAATCTCAACTCTCAAAAGCAGAAACTTTGAAGTAGGCTTAGCTTCAAATCTTAGTCCTACTATTAATAGATCCCTAAAGCTTCAGGTGTTTCATGGATAAAACGGGGAAAATTAGTATCAAACCGTATTAATGGGGAAGAAATTAAATGATGAATAAGTTTTATTACAAGCAAGGCTCATCAAATGCTCATTGTTAGGATCACCAGAATCACCATGGTCCTCGACTAGGGAAGACAATATAATAAAAATCACAAATCAAAAGCTTTGTGGACTTTGTGGACTGGACTTCTTTCTGCTTTAGACACCAGTACTCAGCAGCAGGTACAGAACCGTAAAACCTGAGTATGCCCAGACTGGAAATTATTCCAAAAATGTCTCTGCTGGCCACTCAGAATCCTCCAGTAGGGGACAGGCCTGCAGGCAACTCTTTTCCACTCCCGAAAGTAGGCCTGTTCAAGCCAAGTGCCCTGAGAAATGAGAAAACAAGATAACCAGATTCTAATTTGTCACTAAATTCTTTTCCCTAGGTTTCCCTTTTAATATTCTCCCAGAGAATAAAAGATACACATTTTAATTATAATTTTAATTACAGAAAATTAGGGAAGTGCACAAGCGCCTAAAGAAAAAGAAAATAACATAATCTTCTCCCTCGGGCAACACATCTTATCTTTTAGGGATTATTTTTTCCCCTTTAGCTTTTTTTTTTTTTTTTAGGCATGTTTTTTCCCCCACAACATAAATATATCTTCAGCTTTTGGGCTGGTTATTTGAACATTTTATTAAAGATCTCTGGAAATGTCATTTTAATGATTTCATAGATTGTTCAATAATAAGGACACCTGTAATTAATCTAGTCCTTTTTTTAATTACTGAATAATTTCCTTTGATATCTGCTTTCAATTATTAGTAAGAGCAGTAAAACATTCTTCTGCATAAAATTTTACAATGACTTTACTTTATCACAAAGTCACAAATCATCCTGTTATTCGTCGATCGCCTCGAGCAGGCCCCAGTAACGTCTCTTTCATCCTAGCCCTGAGATTATATTCAAGGCTCTTTAGGAGAATGAGACCCATCATTGTTACTGGTATTTGGCATATTGGGTACTCCACGGGGAGTTTGCCAGACTCTGCCGTGTGGGCAGGCTACATTCGGTAGCCTGCCAGTTTGTCCAAAGTAGGAATGAGATAATAAGATGTCATAATAAGATGGTTCCGGGAGCTGGTTTTTATAGTCTCTGGGTCTTGGCCGTTGATGGGATTACACCAGGGGGCCAGTTGGTGGGTGTGACCCCCGCCTACTGGAGTTTGGAGGATCTGGGTGCAGGATGCCCAGCCCCAATCCGAGTAGGCTTGGAGAGCTCGGCCCCGGAGCCCACGTGACTTTGTCCCTCTGCCAGTACCTTCATGTGTGCCACCAACTGGCGCCCTGGCGCCATGTAATCCCATCAACGGCCAAGACCCAGAGACTATAAAAACCAGCTCCCGGAGCCCCTTGGAGGGGAGCGGGTCGAGCTTTCCTCCCCACCCCGACCAGGGCTCCGGCAGCCAAAGACCTCCAGGACCAACCACCACCATGCTGAGACCACTCTCTGCACACATGAAGGTACTGGCAGAGGGCAGAGGGACAAAGACTTTACGTTGTTAGATAACAACCCCCAGAAAGTAATAACTGGTTAAAAAATGGGTGGGGGCAGGGGGCGGGGATACCTTAGGTTCTTTAGTACGCACTGTCAATTGGCACACCCATAAAGTTCTAGCATCCATAGAAGATAAAAGATCTTTTCTGGCTGTTTATCAAGACTGGAGTCTAGGAGTTGTCATATTACGTTCGTGAAATTAGGAACCTGGGAACAGTGGTGGAGGGAAGTTGCACGGGATGGCCAGATTAGCGCTGAAACATTGTAAATCTAAAATTCAACAAAGAACTGTCAGTCAGGGTGCTTTAATAAGACAAAAATTTGAAAAATTAGGATTCTAAAACTGCTCCTTATATGTCATCAAAACACAGGGAATAAGTTCAAACTCGAATTTTAAAGAGTTTTCTTTTTCAAACTTGATTTTTAAAGTATCTTGATTTGATTTTTTTGGGGGGGTCACACCCAGTGATGCACAGGGGCTACTCCTGGCTCTGCACTCAGGAATTACCCATGGCGGTGCTCCGGGGACCATACGGGATGCTGGGAATCGAATCTAGGTTGGCCACATGCAAGGCAAACGCCCTACCTGCTGTGCTATCACTCCAGCCCCAGTGATCTTGATTTGAAGCAGAAGACACGTGACTTCAAAGTTCTATTATCTTTACTAATAAACGAATTTCAACGAAAGCCCTTATAGTGACACAAATGCATATGGCCTGATTTTATTCCAATGAAATACGCTGTTGTGGAACAAAACTGGAGTCAGATATTAAACTCCTGGGATGATATTAAAGTTATCCTGGGGCCAGTGGGGATAGCTCAGAGGGCTGTTCACGCATGACATGCAGGAGGCCTGGGCGATCACTGATCCTTGACACCACCTGGTCCCTTGAGCACATGGCAGGGATGACCTCTGAGCAATGCACTGCCAAGAACCTCGGAGCATCATATTTCTAGCCAACATCAAGCCTGAATCAGACACTAGAACAGCTAGGTATATCACTATCACTATCATCACAGAATGTCATAAGTTGGTTCCCAAATCGTTAATTTTCAGTTAAATATACCAAGAAACTGAGAGCAAAATGAATTTAAAGATCCTTTAGAGTACAAACTTTGTGACCGTCACAGCTTACAGCCCATTGTTCTTGGAACTGAAAGTGTAATTCAATTATTTGTGGAGTCACTGTGCTATGAATACATTTTATTAGTATAGAGTCATGTGCAAGATGCTTTTCAAAATATTTTCTCATATCAAATGAATCTAAGCACCACTAGCAACATGTTTCCAAACATTTTAAATCACCGCTAAAAAACAATCACGACATTCTTAATCTTCTGTGTTCTGCAGCAGTAGGCAGTAAGTTCTTCTTAATTAGCATCACATCCTAAAAGCAGCACTGCCCGAGTCCACTGTGTGTTCAAGATAGGAACATGGGAATGACTTCACATGCCAATTAAAGCAATTACAGAACAGAATGATGTTGGTATGAATATCCATCAAGCTAGTTTTAGAACACATAAGAAGCATCTGAATTCTGGAGTTGGGGGAGAGAAGGCGAAGTGCCCTATCTGGGCTGAGTAGCACTATTAAATTCAGATGCAGGGTTCTATTTAGCTTGGACAGGTCCCAGCCACAGAACAAAGTCAGTCTGTCTTAGTGCCATAACTGAATTCTACAAGTTAACAGCTTTTCATGAAAAGCTGCCATTTCAAAATGTCAATCAAATCTGAGCATAAGTGGGAACTCCTGCAGAAATAACCAGCTGCAGGTTTGAAAAACATTTTTCACTGAAAGTGGAAACACAAAAGATGTTTGAACGGGATCTCTTTTCATTTCTGTAACAGTAGACGGCCATTTTCACAACATCAAGGACAGAAAACAGAGGACGAAATTGCAAATAATGTCTTAAAAGGGCTATTTGCAGGGTGATGACTGATTCAAGTTACAAATGACAGAATTATTGGCAAATGGGAACTCATTAATATGAAATTGTTTGTTTCTCATT